GTGGGTGCCCCCGGGCTCTCCAGGGCTTTTCCAGCCTCTGGCATTCCATGCTTCCATGGAATTCGCTCTGTCTGTTCACCCCCCGGGCTCTCCAGGGCTTTTCCAGCCTCTGGCATTCCATGCTTCCATGGAATTCGCTCTGCTCTCCGAGGGGAACTTGGGTTTTACTGAGAGTTAACAGTTTTTAACAGATACTGACCAATTCTGAAGTTTTTGTACAGATATTGGAGTTAGTTATCAGATATTAAAGTTACTTAAAAGATATTGAAGATATTTAAGAGATACTGAAGTTTGTTTTTTTCTTTTCCCAAAATCTCCATCTTTTTCTTCCCGCTCCAGATTTTAAGGGAAAACAACCAACCATGTTTTCCTTCTCTGGGGGTGTCCTGACCTCTTCCCTGTTGTCTCTCCCTGCAGCTGGAGTTCGTGGGGAAGTCTGGGGACAGCGGTGGGGGCACCTACACCGTCAGTATCCTTTGGAGAGTGGGGGGGACACACTTGGTGTTCCCAGGCCTGAAACATTCCCAAGCTCTGGAATTTTCTCCTTGACCTTCCCCCCACCGCAGACCTGCACAAGGCCCTGGCGTCTCTGGCCACGGCCACGCTGGAGTCCATCGTGGAGGAGAGGTGACAAGGGGACCTGGGATACTCCCAGGCTTTTCCCACAATCCCTCCTCATCCCGCTCTCCCCGCCCAGGTTCGGCTCCCGCTGCGCCCGGATCTTCCGCCTGCTCCTGCGCAAGAAGCACCTGGAGCAGAAGCAGGTGGAGGATTTTGCCATGATCCCGGCCAAGGAGGCCAAGGACATGCTCTACAGGATGCTCTCGGAGAACCTGGTGTCCCTGCAGGTGAGGGAAGCTCCGGAATCCGGGAGATTCCCCCGGGTGGAATCGCTTGGCCGGGGGTTTCCAGGCACTTCCAGGTGATCCTGCACCAGGGACAGCTCTGGGGAGGGAGAGGGATCCCACCAGGGACACCTCTGGGGAGGGGGACCCCCTTAGCTTGGTCCCTGCCCCTCTCCTTCCCACAGGAGATTCCCAAGACTCCGGACCACGCTCCATCCCGCACCTTCTACCTGTACACGGTGAACGTGGCGGCCGCCGCCCGGATGCTGCTGCACCGCTGCTACAAGGTGGGTGCCCAGCACCTGAACATCGGCCATCCCGGCCTATCCGTGCGGGAATTCCCAGGGAATCCAGGTGGCACAGCTCCCTCCTTCCCGGTGCCACCAGGGGTGGTGGCAGTGGCACCGTCCCCGCGTCCCCTCACGGGGTTTTTGTGAGTGTGGGGTCCACCAACCCCGGGGCGGAGGGCTCACTGGCTCTGTATCCGAGAAGCTTCCTGCTCCAATTATCCAGGTGTCCAGGTGTCCCAGAGGTGGCAGTGCACCTGTCATGTCCCCAGTGCCCCCAACGCCGCCTGTTATGCCCCCAGAGCCCGCCAACTGAGGAACGCCAGGCAGCAACGAGACGCCGGGAGAACAAGTGAGCGCCGCGCCGGAAAAACCGGGGCTCAGTCGCGGGTCAAGGGGGGGGTCTGGAGCCAGCAGCAAACCCCTCCTGTGTCCCTGTGCCCCTGGCAGGAGGGTCCTGGAGAAGTCCCAGGGGTGGACAGCCATCCTGGCCTCCATGCAGGCCACGGGCGCCGAGGAGGAGCAGCTGCGGGAGGTGGAGGAGATGCTGACGGGGCCCGAGAGGCAGCAGCTGGAGAACCTCAAACGCAACGTCAACAAGTGAGGGGACAGGAGGGGACATGGGAGGGGACAGGGATGGGGATAGGGAGGGGAACAGGGATAGGGGATAGGAGGGACACGGGATTGCTCATGCTTAGAGAGGTTAGCAGCTGGAGAGCCTCAAACCACACGTAGCAGTGATGGGACAGGAGGGCATGGAGGGATAGGGAGGGGACAGGGATGGGGATAGAGGGGATGGTATGGCGATAGGAGGGACAGGGATGGGATAGGGAGGGGATGGGGATGGGGATAAGGGGCGGGGACAAGATGGGTGATAGGGAGGGATGGGATGGGAGGGAGGGGACAGGAGAATGGGGATGGAGGGATGGGGTGGGGAATAGGGATGGCGACACGGAATGGGATGAGGATGGGGATGCTGCACCGGCCTCGAGAGGCAGCGCTGGAGAGCCTCCAAACAACAAAGTTTCACAGTGAGGGGACAGGGAGGGATGAGAGGGGACGGGGAGGGGGATAGAGAGGGGACGGGGAGGGAGGGGACAGGGATGGAATGGGACCAGGATGGGGCCAAGAGGGGACGGGGATGGGGATGGGACCAGGATGGGGACAGGGTTGGGGCCAGGACAAGAGTCGGGGACCCCCCGGTGGCTGCCCACCGCTGTCTGTCCCCAGGATCGACGCCAGCGAGAACCAGGTGGACGAGACCATCTTTGTGCTGGAGTCGTTCATCGAGAGCACCGTGAAGAGACCCTGAGGGAACGGGACAGGGACAGGGATGGGGACAGGCACAGGAGTGGGGACAGGGTCAGGAGTGGGGACAGGGACCAACTGCCTTCGCCAGTGGTGCTTGTGTTGCTGAGGGGAATAAAGCAACAGTTGCTGATGGCACCTGAGCATCAACGGGGGACAGGGACACAGAGGACATGGGGACAGCTGTCACCCCTCAATTTGGGTGTTCATGGATCCCCGCTCAGTTTGGGTGTTTATTGATCACCCCTCAGTCTGGGTGTTCATTGATCACCCCTCAATTTGGGTGTTTATCCCCCGTTAATTTGGGAGAGACCCCCTGGCAGGACCAAGGGACCCCCCTGTCCACGCCCCACACCCCCCAGAGCTGTGATTTAGGGCAGTGCCATTAATTAAAGATATTTATGGAGCGGTGGGTGCGATGTGAGGGGAGGGGGGATGTTCGGGGGGGTCCTTTGGGGACCCCGGGATGGGACACTCGTGTTTGAGGGGGATATTTTGGGGACACGTGACCTCCGGGACGGGACACACGTGACGAGGGGGAGCAGTGCGCTCGCCCCGCCGCACGCTCCGCTTCTTGGGCCTTGCGCCCATCACAGCGCGCTTTCCCGTGACGTAAACAAGGGGCGGGGCAGCCCCGGGAGGGGGGCGGGGGCGCGTGGTTTGCGCGGCACGGCGCTTGCTGTGACAACGCCTATGTGGTTGTGGCCATCCAGAACAAGGCCCGTCAGCACCTCGAGGCTTCCCGGGTCTACGGGACCGGCCCTCGCCGGGGGTCCCAGCGCCATTCGCAGTACCGTCCGGCTCTCCGAGGGGATCCCCACTGTCTCCCCGGGCCCACGTTTGTGCCTCACCCGGTGGGCCCGGCCCTGACACCGCCACGCGCCGCCCGTGACGTCATCACACAGCGCGCCTTCGCTCCAAGTGGCGGAGGCGGGAGGGGCTGAGCGGGCCGGACGGAACGGGGATCGGGGCTGGGACTGGGAAGCGGGTCGGGGCTGGGACTGGGAGCGGGATCGGGAATGGGACAAGGGTGGGGACGGAACTGGGACTTGGAGCTGAACAGGGGCTGGGCCGGGACCACGACGGGGACCGGAACCGGGGCTGGGGGTGCTGAGCTGGCGCCGGGCAGGTACCAGGGCTGGGAGGGACAGGGGGTGGACA